TATATATATATATATATATATATATATAAAAGATGTTCATGAATTCATCAGCCCCTCCTCCCAGCGGCAATCCAAAATGACCACTAGAAGCAATTTTTTCAGATCTAGGCTGGATCAGATGGTTGAAGCGTCAAAATCAGAAACCAGCAATCGAAACAACTTCTTTTTGGTTGTTGGGTTCTTAAAAATGTTGACCTGGTCAAATACCTTAAAAATACAAGTGTTAATGAAAGTTTTGAACTATATTATTTATATTTTATGCTTATTTTATATAATAAGTTTGAAAAAAAATTCAGAATAGTTTTATATTAAATTTTAACACAAATTCGAAATACAAGAAAAATCTATGCTACTGGAAAGACATAACATTCAAAGAGCTTTGACCAATCAAAACCTATTATAAACTATGATACATATCACCTGATTGGTGGTTCTCTTTTATGATATATGTAGATTGGTTAAGAGTTTTTTCAGTATTATGTCTTTTGGGCATCATAGTTGACCCCTAAATAAGCTAATAATCAAAATGACTCAATGACCAAAATTGATAGTATTTTTGCATCACCCACCACTTCTCTCTTTCTCTCTCTCTCTCAAAAAGGAACAGATCACAGCTTGTCTAGATCTATCTCTATCTGTCTTCTTGACTCTTGAGTGCAGGACCCAATGGTTCCCATGGTCATTTGGTGTCCCTCTAAAAAAGATGTCAGTGAACCTCATGTGCATCCTGCTTTGGCCCAACCCCATCTTTGAGTGGCTGAGTGATTTTAGTTTCTTAATTGTTTCCTACCCTTTGTATTTATTTATTTTTTGGACTACACAAGGGGTGCGCAGTCTATCTCCCAAATTCATAACCCCTGGGATTTGATCTAAGTCTTTGCTGCAACCAACCATACACTTAAACAACTGGAGTTTAGATCTCTAAAATGCAAAAATCATGCAAATACTCTGAATGCAAGGCATCCAACTGCACACACTCTCAAAGTGTTCACATCATTTTACTTTCAAGAAATCTCATCTCTACCAATTGAGCCAGTTGCACCTTCTCCCTTTGCATTCAATTTAAACTGTCAATTGCTGCTCTACTAAGTAGATTGTTTGTCTTTGAGGATGTGCCTTAGTACAACAGTTGTGTTGCTGCATTGTGATCTAGGTGACCAGGTTCAAATATTGGAAATAGCTTTTCTATGTATCTATAGATATCAGTAAGGTGGCATATATCTATCACTCCCAAGACCCTATATTGTCGGGAGCCTACATTATCTATTTTATTGAAACTTAGGAGAACTCCATCAACACAAGCAATTTTACAAAAATCCTTTCTTCCAAAAAAAATGGGTATATAGACTGAGCTGAAGGCATCTCATATTTGGTCTTAAGGTCCTGTTTGTTTTCATTTATTTGGGTAAGTACGTATACCCGAGCAAGTGTTTTCTAGACTTCATTTGTCTGGGTAAATAAAGTTCTAGTGTTCTTGTACAATACATGTTAGCCGGATAAAAAGAGAGATAAGAGAGGAAACCGTGTTATCAATGTAAACATAAATTACTTACCCACCTTTGAAGAGGAGAAGTAATTAACACGGAATGATAGTCAATTGCTTATTTGACCAAATAACCTCAATACCTAAACGGCACTACTCACGACTATTTATTGCATCTCATACCACTTAATTTACTACCTTTCCCAACTTGAAAAAATAGTACGTAATAATAAGGAAGTTTGCGCCAATCTTCTATTCTAATCAAATTTCCAAAAGTAAACCTGCTTAATCTGACTGCTTTGTGATTGTGGTTGAGGTTGGTGATATGCACTTTTCATGGATTTAAAAAAAAAAAATCGAGATTAGACAATTTCTACAACTTCTTCGGCAGTCATTAACTATGTATATAATATATGTATACATAATGAGATAATGACTATGAATTAGTTGTCTGTCAGAGTAGTCTTTAAGGAAATATCAGCCTTGACCCATCCAATTAAGTGGAATATGGAATATGAACACTTGGCAGGCGTTTGGATGCTTGGACCCCTTTTCAGGGGGCCCACTTAAGAAGGCCCAAATCAATATAATAATATCAACTAAACTGGGGTTCAGAAATCAAAACCCATCTTCACGTTTCACGTTGCAACCATCGACTTCCTTGTCTACCCAATGACGTCTTCTTAATAGGAAATGAAGACCTTTGAAGGGTGGATGAGTGGAGATAGAAAATCTTAAACTTCATACATGATAACAGGGCAATGTGGCCCTATTTTTACCATCCGATGGTTAGATGCATTTCTGTTAAAAATGAAAAGAAGAGGAAATGTTCGATGTCAAGCTATTATTGAAGTACTAGTATATTTCTTTTCTGGTACGTTTGTATTATAGTTCATGAATGCTCTAGTAGCAACAGCTTTGCTCAGTTGCACTTTTTACCGGTGGAAGCAATGGTTGATGTCTTGATGAGTTGGATTGGATATGATTCTAGAAGGAAAATGGATGTAAGCTTGGCCCACTTGGCCACTTGGGTCTGGGCTCAGAACTTCGGCCCACTGGTTAGACTTCGCCCTGTTTTAATTAGACTTCAGCTTTGATTAGGATTTAGGAATTTGGATGTTTATTTTGACCAGTTCTACATTGGTCATTTGTTGTTGAGACGCCCCTTAAATCAGTCAGTTATTGCAACTTTGAACCATACATATGATGTTTAACTTAAATTTAATTTGAGATTAAACAATTAATTCCATCTCCATCGATGTCCATCACATAAGTCCATCTACAGTATTGATTAGAAGAAGTGACAAGTTGAAGGGGCCAAAGATGTTGATAACGGAAATAGGGTGGAAATAGTAGGAAATTATTTAGGCACCCATAAATTGGGATGGATATGGGGCACTGACTAAAAATTAGAAAACGGAATAATTGAAATAGGATTTATATAGCCGACTCTATATAGTTAGGACAAGGCTTAGAAGATGATGATGCCACTCTGGATCTGTTATCCATGAGCTGTTTCCATCAATATTTTCGAACCATCATTGATTTGGACAGTCAGATCGTTCAGCCTAGGAACCATCTACGATCTCGGTTTCGTTTTACCCCAAATCCGGTCACTGGCCAAAAGCTGTTGAATTTGTTAATAACCTACTGACCCGGGTGGTCGAATCATTGATCCGTTTGACTCGTTCAACGATTTTGGTTATTTTTTATTTTTTGTTGGAATGGGCCTTCCATTTAAGCCGGGCAATCGAACCATCGACCCAGAAAACTAGTGGCCAAAATGGTTCCTGTTCCAGGTCGGTTTTTAAAACCTTGGTTCCCAAATCCTCACCATAGAACACCACCACTGTTTATTATGAACATCTCCCTATGAATGACAGTCTAGTAACAAGTAAAGGTCCTCATCAAGTTCAACCTTTTTATTGTTGGCTCTAGGTTGTTTTTGGTAGATTATTACTTGATTTATTTTTAAGGGAAAATTCCCATTAGTGCCCTGTACTTTGGGCCTAGTGCCATTTTGATCCCTAAACTTTAAAATGTGACAGTTCAGTACCCAAAGTTTCAAAACATGACAATCCAGTACCTGCTGTTAACTAGCTGTTAATCAGCTGTTAAGTGGCATTGGAAAAAAAACACAAAATACCATTCAAGTGTTATTTAATTTTCTTTATCAACCATCTAAACATTGACAAAAAAATAACAGTCCCAAAACCTTGCCTTTTCCATTCAAGAAAGTTGGAGTCACATTTGAGTGTCCATTCTGATGACCCCAACTTTCTTGAATAGAAGAGACAAGGATTTGGGGTTGTTAATTTTTTGTCAATGTTTGGATGGTTGATAAAAAAAATTAGATGACACTCGAAGGGCACTTATGTCTTTTTCAAATGCCACTTAACAGCTGGTTAATAACTAGTTAACATCAGGTACTAGATTGTCACGTTTTGAAAGTTTGGATACTGAATTGTCGCATTTTAAAGTTTGGAGACCAAAGTGACACTAAACCCAAAGTACAGGGTACTTATTGGGAATTTTCCCTTTTTTTAATTAAAAAGGTCCTTTAAACGAGAGTATTAATCAGTGATGACTGACTTAGTAGGAAATAAGGCTTGAAGATCTAACATATCCAAGCCCCAACTCAAACCCAACATGATGTGGGATCAAATTCCAGTTTCTAGGCCCAGGTCCACAACGAAGCCCGAATATCCAAGTTCAACCTTTTCAAAAGTTTGGACTTTGGATGGGCTGGGCTGGGTTTGGGTTGGGCCTACCCAAGTTCTAGCATGAAAGTGATTCTGCATGGACTGTGAAGCCCAAGTTGCCATCAGATTCCTTTAACTGAAAATTCCAATCCAACGGTTTCAGTCTCATAACGTGGAAGGCGTAGGAACGGTAACGGACTAGCGCGCCCTTAATACTCGTCGTCGCGGGGGAAAAGTTCTGCGAAATCTGAAGAGCTGCCGATTTCAAGCTTCGACTCAAGAGGTAATGGTTTTATCTACTCTATTTTTTCCATTGATTCAATTCAGAAACACATCTGTAGTATTTTTTTCTGGAATTGGACCAAAGCTCGTTGGTAACCAGTATCTCTTTGTTTTTATGTTCCGATCTGCCAATTAGGGTTTTTAGATCTGTAATATCTTTTTCTTTTCCCATCTCTCGTGCTCAACCTCTATTTAAATCGTTGCCTTTTTGTTTGTACCTTCACTGCTAATGCGATTATCCCTGAAGCATTTTTTGGATAGTTAGGTGAGTTAACATGGGAAGTAATCAGTTATTAGATTACCATTAAAATCGGCTTTCGTTTGGAGGATGATAGAAAACGTAGAAAGCAAAATGTTATTAACCCATTAAGTTGGGGATAATTCTTAGAACGGATTGTAATGTCTTAGTTTTAGTAGCTAGGGTAGTCGTTGTATTAGAGAGCGGTGAAATGCATGGACAAGGTGCCGACTGTTGGACTGGAGAACGGTTGATGCCGGTACTCGCTTCTGTATTGACATATGCACGAGTGCTGATAACTTGTTTTATTGTGTGCCTTCTGAACCACCTCTCGTTTAAGTTTAAAAGCTATAATTGTTGTCGTCGTCATCATCTTTATCTCAACTATATGGGGTCGGATATGTTTTGTCATTCGTTCTGATTAAAGCCATATCCATTGTTAAATTATGAATTATGAGCGCTTGACTTCTAAACAAGTCCTGTCTACCCCTAGCCCATCTAGCCCCCTCAACTTGCAACTAGTAGCTTCTTATTTTATAAAAAAGTTAGATCATCTTCTTATGGGTTCTGTCAATGGTCATCTATGCATGTAACCAAATCATCATAGTCTACTTTCTTTCATTTATCACCTATTGGAGTTACTCCTAGCCTTCTAGGTTCCTTCCAATGACTTCATTTTTGACAAAACCATCTTGCTCTCTAATTCAACGACTACCCTAGTAAAGCTAAAGCAATACAAGCTTTTCTAAGAAATCTCCATAACTTAATGGGTTGAAAAGCTATCATTGTCATAAACAACAAAATGATAACAACAATAATGCTAATCATTGATGTTGTCATTTTGTACATTTTTTTTTTCTTTGCTCTGACCAATGTGAATTTGAAATTTACTGGGCCGTACTTTTGCTAGGAGTCTCAGTTGCAAATTTTGTTGTGGTTTTGGTTATATTTCATTTATTCTTCTATCTGGAACAAGAAGCATAACAATAATTTAGATTGCAACCTGATAGGCTTCTGGAGTGTTTTTTTTTCTTTTGTTTTAGAGTTGATGCATCTTATTGACTTCTTATTCTGACATGCAACTTTTGTTTTCTTTTCTTTTTCTTGGTGCAGACAAAACTGGTAAACCTGTTTCATTGAGTTGTTTCTGTTCTACCTTCATTCACCATGTGCGTATTATGTTTAATTTTTTATTTATGCTAATTAATCCCGAGCTTTTAAGTTTTTTTGTCTGTATTTTAAATCGTAAATCTTCACTACTTTCTAGTAATTCAGAGCTCACAGGTAATGGAAATGATGCAAGTTTGTGATTCCGGAACTTCATTATGTACTAGTTATCTTTTTTTCTATGTTCTTGTCAATAGTAAGCTAGTTTCTTGCTCAATTTTGGAGGCATATGGATGTCTGTGGCTCATAGCATATCATGTTACAAAAACTAGTTATAGCATATCGCATTACAAACTTAGAATGTCATCTGATCCTTGCAGATTCAGGGTGTTATTTTGTGGCAGATTTATAATTCGACGCTTAATATGTTCTTGGAGTCTTGGTCCTCTTGGTTGAGTCAGGCATGGATGATCAGAAAAGAGTGGGGAATATATTATATTGCATAGGAAAGGTTTTCTAATTGGGTCAAATAGGGAGCTTTCTTATATGTCCTAGACTTATTCTACCACATTCATCCAATTATGGACCCTCTGGATTGTCCATGTCTTGGGCCCTGTGGGCCACATCAGCCCATATTCATATTAAATGGTTAGAGACAGGCTCAAACAAAAATTTAAAATAGCTATTGACTAGGTCAACCAGGTGGGGTTGTTTATCAATGTAGATGATTTATTTATAATAATCCCAGCTGACTGCATCGTGGGCATCAACCATTTAGTTAACCATGCAATTCATATGACCTTCAACTGGCTAGTTGATTGTTCCATGCTTTGCTAAACTGTAGTACAAATAGGGGATGGCTAAAATTATGTGCTAATGGATGTCTCAAAGCAATAATTCCGATATTGTTAAATGTCATGAGAAGAGAGAGAATGAAGGTGATTTGCCAATAGAGTTATAGTTGAGTGGATGAAATGCATTTTTGCTAATTTTCAAAAAAAAAGCGTCTTTTTTTTGGAGTGTTATGCAATTGATGCACATCATTAAAACCAAAGAGTATTTTATAGGGTGATTATATGATTGGCCATTCTTTGTGATGCAATATGTTGGGCAGTCAAGAAATAGCATAGCATATTCATGGGATGGGCGAGTAGTATGGGATAAATTATGACATAGCATATTCATGGGCCAAATGACAACAAGACAGGAGAAAAAAATATACAGAGGTGGTTTAGTCATGTAAAATTAGAGACCAAATCAGCCCCCCACAAGATTTCCCCTCCACAACGTCCCACAGCACATCTCCACCGTGTATTGGGAACATCTTCCGATGATATACCAAAAATGATGATGTCATCATCGGGAGATGTTCCAAATACACGGCAGGGATGTGCTGTGGGACGTTGGGGTGGGGGGCTGATTTGAACTCGTAAAATTAAGACTGATGAAAGCAATTGTGGGGTTGTTTATGTTTTTGATAATTCATTTTGTTCTTAGGAAATTCATTGCTCATTTAGGAATAACTTCTTTAATGGTTGGAGTAGACCCATTTTGTGATTAAGGTAAAATATAAATGCTTTTCTGGGAAGACATTGTCCATCTGTCTTGTACTCCTCGTAACACATATTTCTATATTGCAATCCACATTTGTTTGTCCAAAAGAAATGATTAGTAAGAAAAAATTTTCTACAGCTCTCAGAAAGTAGAAGAAAAGCAAGGAATCATACATCTGTGTTTAGTAGAAGCTTTTTGGTGATAAAACCATGAGGCCCACTGCACTAGGTACTGAAAACTTCCTTCATAAGGGTCAAAATAGCAGGCTCCCTGATATCAAGATATCCAGCTGATAAGGAAACTTCATATGAAGCGCACCTGCTATAAACTAATCATTGAAGGAGATTCAATGATTAAGGAGTAAAAAGAGCAAAGCAGTTGAACATTAATAAATTAATCACTGAAGGAGACTCCAAGTTGGTAGTACGGTGGTTAACAAGTGAAGGAATGAAGCTGTGGAACTACAACAATGAGAAGAAAAAAGTTTAACTGCTTGACCAAAGATATGGAAGTGAGAGTACAACGGGTTAAGAGAGAAGCAAACTCTTTTGCCGATGTTGGCAAAACAAGGGGTGGGAATAGAAAATTTATTCTGGGCGCAGTTGTAAAAATTTAATGCTTGGGGAGAGATAAGAGAACTTATCTCTCTTTCTTTGTACTTTACTCTATACACATATTTTTCTAATCTAATAAATCTGCAGTTATTGATAAAAAAACATGCCCCCTATAAAGCATTGGTGGGATTGTTTATGTAAACTTGAAGGTTCTAAAAAGACAACAGGTAGACAAAAAAAGACTAGGGATCATGAAGAGAAAAAGACCTTTTAGCTCATTATTTATTAGAAAATATTTTTTTGATGAATTATTTATTAGAAAATATTACCCTCTAGACATTTTAATAGAGAAGGCGGGGGAGCCCATAGGTGGTGGGATAAGGCAGATGGGGATAATGATAAAGTGGTTGGAAAGGTTCATGCTTTTCAATTTTATTTGCTTTTTTTAATCAATTCACCTTTTTTTTATTTTTATTTGATTTCCCTTTACTTTTGTACTCTACTCATATTTATTGATAATTTTTGTCAGCTACTTTTTTTGGTCAAGGTGTTAAGACATTCCAGTCTACTTTCCTCTATTTATTTTTGATTGGTACTTCTTTCCCCATTGACCAATTTATTGCTATTTAGGGCGGACGAAGAACCTGTTGATCAGAAGAAGTATTTTGAGGAATCTTGCAAGCCGAAGTGTGTTAAACCTTTACTTGAATATCAGGTACTTCAAGTCTAGCTTATTGAATTTCAAATGTTTTAAGTATGAAGACTACTGTAAAATACTCTTAGGTTACATATTAGGGCCGGAACTTGGTCTGGCCCAAACTGAATGCTGGCCAGTCCAACCTGAACTTTGGCATGACTTTGATTTGGGTTGAACTGGGACTTTATGGCTTTGGGCTAGGGATGGTCCTAAGTCAGAATTGCTTCTAGATTTGGTTGGACTCAGGTTAAGGCTTAGGGTAGTACGACCCAACCTGAAACCATGCCTGGCTAAATCTGAAGCTGGCTGAAACTCTAGTATATGAAAAACAGATGCATGATAGTGTAAATGAGAAGTGTAAATGTGCTTTGAGCTTCATTTGTTTGCTTGACTAGGGTCATCTCAAGAGTGCTTTTGTTAGAAAAAGGTAAAGGGGATTTGGGGGATTCATCTAGGTTTTTGAAGAAAGATGAGCAAGAGAAATGGTCCAAAGGATCTAGAAGCAAGGCTTTCAAGTAGAAAGAAGACATCTTTAAGTCAAGTGAGTTGCAAATGTTAACATCCAGCAATTTTCATATTTTACATAGGGAGAGGTCGTAAAGCCTTGTGAAAAGTTGAGATAAAAGCTTATCCTCTCCAATCCTCCAAAAAATTGACTATGTGATAGAGATTTGGGTCATATCTAATGTCTTGTTAAAGAAGGATCAACAACTTCAATTACTTCCCAAGGACACTGAAGAACAGCAAAAACACGGCTATATATGGCATTGGATACGAAATTTACACTAAAAATTGAAGTGTCCTGCATGATATGGCACCCCTGTACAGGCATCCAAATATCATAGCGCACTGAAGAGTACTTTACAAGCTGAATTAGTATCTCTTATATACCAGCCCAACTCAACAAATGATCTTTCTTTGTACAAAGGACCTTTTACATCAATACAATTATACTTAACCTTTGCTAAAAAAAAATGATCTTTCTTTTGAGTAACCTGGCCTCCTAGAGAGAATGCCATAGAATCTCTTAATTTCTTTTTGTAACTTGTACATGGGTCTAAAGATCTGCCAATAGCTTGGCCAATCCTCTGGCTAGGCTAGGGGCAAACAGCGAATAACTTTGTTGGGGGGTTTAATTTGTAATGAAAACAAAATTTATGATTTTAGGCTGCCAATCTAACATTAAGGCACTATATGTAATCACGTTGCACATGCACTTTTCTTTTCCTTAATCAATAAAGTTGATCAGCTATTCCTGTGAAAAAAAGGAACATGTACAAGAAAGGTAGACAGGAAGATTGGTAACATAGCCTTTCTGAGTACAATCCTGCTAAAATGGTGTATTTGTCTCTCCATAAAATGGAGGGAAAATTTTTCAACTGAATTTTGAGCTGCTCCCCTCTCCCCAATGAAAACTTTGTTTTCTTTGCTATTTTACATGATTAATGATTATTACATCGAAACAAATCAAAAGGTGGCACACATAGTTTTCTCTATAAATGGAGCATAAATAATAGCTGAAATATCTGCCTGAAAAAATTTCCGTCCATATCATGGGGGGAACAGAATGCGGGCATAATTTCAAATGTGCATGTGCATCATGTTTTCTTGTTATCCTAGTAATCTAGAAGTTAGGCCACCTATTGGATCAAATCAAGTGTGTGTGGCATAAAATTTATTGTTTAGAAATTAAGGGCACAAAATTAGCAATAATGCTTCCACCTGTTAAAGTTACCTCTTGAATAGGCTTAAAAGAGGCATATTTTTCTCAAAATGTTGGAGGAACAATTGGGCACATTACTAATTGCTTACTGTCCTTTACTGTTTCTGGTTATGGTTGGGTCAGTTAGACTTTGCTTGAACCTGGTCCTTATTGTTTCTTTATGCTGTTACTCCACCATCAATAGTCCGAGGCATCCATCTAGGGAATACCTAGGACATGATTTCGACTGCCTTCACCAAATCTGTTCTTAGTCTCAACCATGGCTGGACCGCAGCATAGATTAATTGTAGTAGTTAGGTTTATTATAGGCTTGCATTTTTTTCCCATTTGTTTTATTTTAAATATTTCCTTTTTAACAGTTGCATTTCTACTTTCCCATGGAGACCATGTAAGTGCTTATTATATGGAGGTGTCCATCAGTTGGCAGATATTGGATTGAATTTCTGTCAATTATTACAGGCATGTGTTAAGAGGATTCAAGGTGATGAAACTGGTCACAAACACTGCACAGGACAATACTTTGACTATTGGTCATGTGTGGATAAATGTGTAAGTCTTCAATGTTGTTGACATGATCGGTTTAGTAATGCTATTTCCAGGTTTTATTCTGATACTGTTGTTTTTTCACAAACCCAGGTTGCGCCGAAGCTTTTCACAAAACTCAAGTAGATGAAATGTAGTATTTTCTGCACCATTATCTTATCTATCATTTTTTACTTCCGAACATTTTGATTGGCTTTTTTGTGTACTGCAAACTAGCCATGTTTGTTTTGGTGCTAGTTCTCACCAAGTATAATTTTTTTTGAACAGTGAAGATCTTGGGTTAGACCAATAAAACATGATATTCTAGAATTGAACTTGGTTGAAGACTTAATGTTTTTTGTGATAATGCTGAAGATAGTGAAATTTTGTGAGATGAAAAATGCAGGAGATGACGCCTAGAGATTAATAAGGTAAATTGAAAATAATCAATTAATCATAAGAGCTGATGGTGGTGCAGAAACACCCCTCTGCAAGATAACTGATCTGTCAACTGAAGCTGTAGGGGTATTGATTTTACTTTCAACTGTATGGATGGATGGATGGTTCGGCAAATGTGCTTTTAGGCTTCCTTTGTATGCGGTGCAATTTCGTTCTCAGTCTCACTCATACAATTGCTTGTTAATGCAAATGTAAAATCTGGTTTAATTTTACTTTGAGCTTTACTTTTGTTTGTGTTTGGAACCATGGGCATTTATTCATTAAATGTTTGATTTGTTTGCAAAATTGAGAAAAGCAATAATGAACCCGTTCATTGACATTTAGGCGTCATTAGACACTACATCAGCAAAATAATGAATAAGCACCAATTTATTGGGGGAAGCGTAAAATGAAGCTTTACCCAACAGTAGGTGTGTACATAAATTAAGGCTTATTTTTGCAAGTCTATATGTGTACGGATCTGTATGATAGGGGAAATGTTGAAGTGGTGTCTAGCATTTATTCAATAAATGCCTATGGTTCCAAACACATTCTAGGTTTTGTTTTATTTCATTTGCATTTCAAACAAACAAGATTAGTTGGAATCCTAAGCAAAAATGAACCAGACGCATTGTAACTCATTTACATTCCCATATTTTTGCACTAGTGAAAATGATATTGCACTCCAAGCAAGCCAACCCTTAGTGTTGGTAACCTGCCTCTCTTGGATGGGAATTACCAACTAGTTATAGTTGCCACTAAGTTCAATCCTCCAGAGAATTACTTTTGGGAAGCAATTGGTGGATAAAAAGGGTTTAGGGTAGTGTTTGAGAATTACTTCTTTAAAGAGTTGAGATCACACATAAAGTGGTTTTGTGTATTTGGTAAAAAAGTTGGGAAGAATTTTTTTTATAAAGTACTTTAAAAAAGTGATTTCAAGTTGTTTTTTTTTTTAAAGTATTTTTCCAAAAAAATGGGACGAACCAACTTTCTCCATTCATTCGAACTCCCTCGGTCCCTCCCATTTCCTCCACTTCTCTCAGTCTAAGCCATAACTCAGAAAATCATTCCATTGGCCATTCACATACACCGGTGTTTGTAAACGTGGTCCATTGGCATCGGCAAGAATTCCGACGGTAAATATAGAAAAGTTTTCTCTAGTCTCCCCAATGACTCTTCTTTCTTCTTCTTCCTCTTCTTCCTATCTTCTTCTTCTTCTGAGAACCATCACTCCTCACATCGGCGATCATCAGTCATCAGAGCAAAGCTAATTTCCCCAAGCCCTAATCCTTGTTTCAGTAGATTAAACACTCCTATTACCATATCCTTTTAAAAAACCCTATTTTTTGTTAGAATGGAATTTCTCATAGTTGATTAAACTCTCCAATGTCTTTAATGCAAAATCGTCACTCAATTCTGACTAGCCCTTCGGAATTATGTGGTTTCTGATGTTAGATTGCACATGACAGACGTTCCTATACTTGGATTGGGGTCGATCCAGCCTTGTGCAGTCACCATGTTCTTTTGTGCATTCATGGCTTTTCGAGCAATCGCTTTGCAGTTTTTCGAGCAATCAGTTTGTGGTTTTGGAAGACCACGACTGCATTACCAAAGGCGAAATCAATAGCATCGGTGATGTAACGGTCTCTGTAGAATTGGCAGAGGGAATGTGCATAGAGGGTGTCCTGGTTTGTGTCGATGCAGCGACGGTTATCATGTGATTCTAATCATACAATGGAAACAATGGTGAAGCGGAAGAAGAATTTGAAGAGGAAATCAAAGACAAAATTTGAAGAGTATATTGAAATGGAGATGAAGAAAGGTGTTATGTCTGCTGAGGAAGATTTGGAATTGGAAAGGAAACATGCGAAGAAGTTCAAGGTGAAAGGTGGAAGATTGCGGGGAACAGATGATGGGATCAATGAGTTATTTGATGGAATTCCATCTGTTCTTGATTCATTAGTGGATAAAGAAATTTTGGACGCTGAAGAAGCTATTGTAAAGAGCTCTAATCACAATTCTACTAGTAAGAAACATAAGAAGAAGCAGAAATAGTTATTGGATGCATTAGAACAAGAAATAGAAGATGTGGTTGTGAAGTGAGGGCTAAAATTGTCATTTGTGTCAATATAAACACTTATGGGGAAAGTAGCTTACCAAACATCCCCATCTCAATAAGTGCTTAAAGACATAATAAGTTATTTGAAAGGTGGATTACCAAGCAGTTTTAAGTGGTTGTTAAAATAAGTACTTCTAACTTCTTAGAAACAAGTACTTCTCTTAATGAAATCTGTCTTGAAATGTACTTAATCATCAAACAAGGCCTAGGCCTTCCAAGGCTGTCAATGGATCCATATGGGGTGAATGTAAGTGCACGTGCACCAATGGAAAATCTTCTTCTAATGAGATCTGTCTTGAAATGTAACCCGAAAATCAAAGTCTTTTGGGCATTTTGTCATACATATTACACATTACAACGGAATTAAGGGGTGAAGACAGAGCAGAGTGCAGAGGAAGTCTACTTACCTTTACCATGGCCAGGACTGGATCTGCTCCTCACACCAACCACACAGCATGTTGCAGTCACAAACGGGTAACATCTCCCGTACTTGTATGTTGTCAATAATGGCGATGTTTCTAGTAGGGGTTCAACTATGATATGGAGAAGATATGATATCCGTTAAACAACTGACCACCAAACTGGAATCATAAACATAATAACGAATAAAGTGTTATTTATAAAAATTCATGGGTGGATTTTAATTGGTAAAAACTCTTTCCATATCATATCTTTTCCGCATCATAGATTTTTCCTTCCGATAGTAGTCATTTTTGAAATTAACTGCCAAAAGAAAAGTTAGAATTAATGGTATTAACAATTGAGCCTTTGACATGCTTGTTACTCTTTTTTTTTGTGAGTATTGAGCATGTCGATACTTTTATTTTTAATCATTTTTTAAGAAGGGACAGAAGTGACCATCTCAACTGTTGGGTGGGTTATGGGTTGAATGGACTTCTTATGGCTTCTATTGAGAGGTGGAATTCTAGCAAAGAAATCTCCGTGCAAGAAGAGGCATGCATATTGCCCCATAATGTGAGTTCTTAAGTGAGAGTACTGAGGATGAAAACCGTCTTTTCTATGAATGCCCGATATTGAAAAGAAAGGTTTCAACCTTGAATCCTCGTACATTCGCAACGTCCAGGCCAAACTTAAGGCTGATTTCTATATCTAATGTTACCCAGGATGGATTTTGAGGGCCTTTCGGGTAGGGGGTACCCCAAGAACCAAGATTTGTTTAAACCCTTTGTCCATCTTTCCGTCAACCCAAAAGAAAAGGAAGTAATTTAAATTAAGAGATTATGATTAAGGGAGAACAATGATGAATTAAGTACAAGGCTTTTAATGGGAACTAAGATATGCAAAAGAAAAACAATTTATTTTTGACAAACGTTTCAAAATTTTCACAGAAATCTGGTATCTCTCTACAAATTTTATAAGCAAAAAACATAAAATTTGGAAAGGTTTATATCCTAGTTGGTCAGCAAAGAATCAAATGTTACGTAGAGCTTTCCCTAATAAACTTGTCTGTTTTAATTATACTAACAAAAGAAAAATATATTGTAAGGACACTTGTTGCTTAAAACTCAATATAAGATGCCCTTTGTGGATATCTTTATTTCTTTCTTCTATTTTTCATTAGACAATGAAATAGGGCCGACCGCTTTTGATGATCAAAATGGCTACCAATCAAGAAAGAATTTCTTCTTGAAACTAATTTCTTTTGTTATTTTAATTTTATCATGTATCACTTAAAAGAAATGAACAAAAAAGCATTGGAAAGAAAAGGCTATAACAATGTTTAAAAGCGCTTAAGGTCCATCACCCTAGTTGCAACCTTTCAATTTACGTTATTTTGGAGCAGGGAACATGGTGGGCCATTCAACTAAACTTATCACTCAAATTATATAGATGTCATAAAATCCATGAAACCCACTTTCTTCAATATTCTCATTCCCTTATCTTTTCTAATTCTAATATATATATACTTAAATGAGAGAAGTATGACTATGAGTGTATATCTTTGACTGGGCAAGTCTGAGAGAGAAGCTGTTGCTCATTAAAGCAGCAGGCATGAGACCGAATCCTTCAAGCATGGATGCAATTACTTGCTTTGATCCTTAACTATTAACTATAGAAGGTATCTCTCTTATCCAATCTTATATAATATGATAATTCCTGTTAATGGCAATCGTCTCATCTTTGAGTCAGATACAGCTTATCTTCCAAAATCTATCTGCAACTTGTTTGGTAATTGCACATATTTCACATTGAAGATTGGCTGACCCAAGGGATTCGCAGTCGCCGCAAAGTGCAGGGTAGACCATATGCTCTTGTTAAGAGAATTGAGTTAAAAAAAAAAAGTAAAAGAAATGAAAAGATGAACATAAATGCTCTAATAATACTGTTAATGTATAAGGAGAAAGGAGCTGGGAATTTGTAGCTTTTGAAGTGGGGCAATGCTTCTCTAGAACTCCATTGAAGAGTTGAATATTAAAAAGACAAAACCAATCTGAAGCCTGTTTAATTGCAGTTTAAATGAGAACAAGTGGTAAGGTGATAACTGATAACAACAGTGAAAAATTGAAGAGTAAGCCTGTTTTTGAGGCCATGAGTTTCATGTCGACATATTCCAAGTTGTGGTCATGGGATTCCATGGAAGAATTGAAGAGCATGCAAACTGGAATTCTCTGCATCAACTCAACTGGCTGGGAGAGTGTAAGAGCCAGAGTGTCAAGAGAATTGTTGAAAATGGTCTACAAACAAGTCCACAAAACCATGTTTAGGTTATCTAGTAAGATTAGCTTGGTAGGGCCAAATGTGTATTCGGTAAGAGAAATGGAGACAAAATGTGAGAGAGAGAGAGAGAGAGACTATGAAACTAAACTTGATGGATGTTGGTGGGGCTATCTTTCAAGATTAATAAATCTAAAATAAATCAGATGGTTGAGATTTACCTGACCTGATCTTATAGCTGAAACCTAGTTGATGTTGGGTCTAAATCCTCTATGCACAGGGTGGAAGACCTCTTTGCAGTTTCCATGAGGATGACCTCATTGTAGCCCGATTCTAAAAAAAGGTAATTTTGAAAGAATTCAAAATTCTCAACTGATGACTCGTTTTATGTGTATAAAGCCTGGATTAGTATCGACTAATGTGATTGTTAATATTGCATTAGTATATATGTATAAATTGGCAGGCAAACTGAACCCCCCCACAGTTTTGGTCTCTGTTAATGTATCATGGCATCACACGCCATTCCCATCTTATCTCTATCCAACGGCAAGCATATATTTGATGCTACCAAGTTAATTATGATCAAATTATCACAACCCATCTCCTGGCTCCCACTTCACAGATTAAGTAGTGTCACTTCAGAAGCAACCAGCTAAAAGAAACGCCCAGTTGAGAACTAGGTCCCAAATCCAAATCCCCCTTTACAGTGCATTTGATTTGAAGCTCAAAGTGGTTTCCCTCTCATCTTCCATTGATTCTAAGCTTCATTGGATAAGAAAAAAACTAACCCCATTCCTCTTTTTCTTTATTGATTCCTTCTTTTCTCTCTCACCCTCTTGAAGAATGTAGATTCTCTATATTTTTATGTAAAAGACTAGCATGGAGGGAGAAACAAACAAAAACAATGAAGATTCACATACTCAGATTTGTACAAATTACAACTAGTACACACTTTTCCTTTTCTCTCTATGCTGAGCAAAGATACTGGGGTCCAACTTGTGCCCCAAGGGAAGATCTTAACACACTAATGTCTAAACTTCTAGTCCCTCAGTTTACATTCCAATCAACAGTATGTACAATTGAAAAACAAAACAATTAACAAATACCCTAATGACTAGGCATCAAACCTTCACGTTGTAATGGCAAAACCCCTCTGGCCAATGGTGGAATCGCCAGCGCCGGCGGCGGCAGCCGCGGCAGCTCCGATGAGCTAGTTTGGCTGCAGCCGACGATCTTCTGACAAGTTTCAATCAGGCAGTGCCTACAAGTGGGGCATGATGAGTGTGAAGTGAGCCATTTGTCAATACACCGGAGGTGGAATCCATGGTTACACTTGGGGAGGACCCTGACACGGTCCCCTGGAGCAAACTCTGAGAGGCATATAACACATTCTGAGTCCAACCGGGGTAGCTCTGACCCAGTAGAGTAGGTCAGTGTGGGGAAAGTCTTGAGGGCTTTCCTCTTGATTCCTGTGTTAGCCAACCTGTTGGCTGTGTTGTTGGATGATGGATCAGAATTCACTCGCCTTGAGCACCTTAATGCACACCTGATGATGGAGTTCAGCCCAAGAGCACAGATTAATGCACACAAAAGAACAGAGAGGATCATTACTACATTGGCGTCTAAGCTGTTTCCATTGGTGTATGACTCCGATGAATCATGGCCGGTAGTTGCAGTGCCGGGCGGGGCTGCCGTGCCCGGTGGCTGGTAAAGGGGAGTGTGTAGTAACAATCTTCTTGAGCGGACATCTCTCAGCAAATCTTGGAGCAAATTTGAAGGATGATTTGAGGAAGAAGAAGAAAGAAACATGTTTGGGACTTGGGAGCTTATTTAAGATGAGTTGATGGAAATGGATTCTCCTTGGTTAGGTTGGTTGTGTAGGGGGATATATAGAGGGGAATAAATGAGGCTGCTTGATTTAGCTTTTCAGCTGAGTATTATAAAAGAAAAACAAGCATAATATTTGGAGAATATTCAGCCTTATGATTAAAAATTTCCCCCCATATCAAAATTAAGACTTTTGTTCTATTAATTAATACTTTCCCATAATTTGGAGCTTCCACTAAGCCCATGTAGTCTATGGGCCTTTCTATTCTAACTGGGCCCATGCCACTTTCCAGGCAAGAGAGTGTGCCAGGTGGCGACATCCTTTCAATTTTCAAGTTTCAACAGCCATTGATATCCCTAATTGCTAGATGGGGCCCACACGACTTTGAAGAGGGAAGGAAATGCTTTCAAGTCGTCTACTATTCTACTTCTACATAGTAATACTGATGGGATTATTACTATACACCAATCACTACCTCAGCAGCTCTATAGATGTGGGTCCCAGATATTAAACATGACGTGGCATATTATAATTGGTTCAGTATCTTTCTATAATTCTGTGCCATTAAAGGATATTCGGAGTGAAAAGTACCTATTCAATAATTAGCTGTAAAGTGGCATTTGAAAAATATACAAATATCCTTCAAAACTTATCTAATCTTTTTTATAAATCATCTAAATGTTGACAAAAAATTAACAATCTCAAATATTTGCCTCTTTTATTCAAGAAAGTTAGAATCATGTATTAGTGGCCATTCTGTTCATCCCAATTTTTTTAAATAGAAGAGGCAATGATTTGAAATTGTTAATTTTTTGTCAATATCTAGATGGTTAATAAAGAAAATTAGATAATATTCAAGGGCATTTGTGTCTTTTTCAAATGCCACTTAACAACTAACTAACCACTTTGACGACCAATTAACAACTAGCTAACATAAATACTGGATTGACACATTCGTTACATTTTAAAGTTTGGGGACCAAAATGACAAAAAAACCAAAGTAAATAGTACTAACCGAAATTTTCCCAAAACAAAATCCCTTGCCTAGCTGACATGGGAAGGTTGGTTTGAGAGGTAAACTGGCCGCGAGATAACTTGTTATCCGTTGCACATAGTATTGGATCTGAGTAAATGACACGTCAAAGTTTTTCTGAGTCAGCCTCAACTCAAATCGTTTAAAGTGTCCCCCAACTCACTGGATCGTTGTAATAAAAAGGGGTGAGTTTGATGGACTGGCCACTTGACCAATCATAATTCAGCGTATTAGTAAATGTAGAGAGATCGGCTTCAGTCAGGGCAAGTTCATGCTCACTCCCTCCTAACAGCCTCTTGCAACTTTGCATCAGGAATATCTCCCATGAGAGATATTCTCAATGCAAGGCTGTAAAAGCTGCTCGAACAGGTATTGCCTTGATGGAAGCTGAACTCAAATGTATATGTATGCGGTGTGTGTGTAGAGGAAGGAGGGGGGAGGGGGGGAGGGGGGGAGGTTGCAACTTGGGCGGTCCAATCAAATCAAGATTTTTGATTTCTGGAGATTTGATTGCACATGTGATCAAGTTTCAAAATATCAATACACCCTGATGTACCGGAAGGTACTTATTGGAGGTTTGATCAATGTATTATTTACTTTTTTTCTCAAAATCTTTCAAGATCAATTTCCCTGAAAGTATTAAAATTTTAAAAATTTAATATTTCACATATCAAGGCGAGCTCAATACGATACAATACACCCCGATATATGACAAGATCAATACGATTCAATACACCCTAATATATGACGCAAATTTGAGCGTTACATGTTATGTATAAAACAGTATGGTCCTAATAGTTATTTATTGTCGAGTTTTATTACTTTTTTCTTCTTTTTCTTTTCTTTTCTTTTTTTTTTATATTTCTAAGAGCTTATGCAATATAATTTCACTCATAGTACAAATACAAATATATATTATATAAATACATACAAAATACAAAATTTTATATTTTATATTATTATGTATTTTTATTTTACATATTTATGTTTATACTCTTTCTAAAGCCTTAACTCCGTGAGATGAACTCAGTCACCCAACAACAACGAGCAGGTTCAAATTCCAACTTCTAACCATAGATGACTGATATGAATTTGGAAAAATGCGAACGAGTGAGCTGAGTACTGAGTCAACAATAACATTGCTTAATTATAATTTATTACACAAAGCGAGTCATGCCGACTCACTTAAGAAACAATATACTGGTAGCACCGAGTCACTGATCGCTAACAGAAACTTTCATTTCTACAGGTAAAAAACGGAATAAGCATATGCCTCCACTCATGTGGAATATATGCCCACCTATTACCTTTTATCAATCGTGTTAACTAAACTCATTTACTTGATCTCAATTGTTAAATTTATCTGTTTGTGTGGAGTACTTAAAACCCATTTCTTTAACTCTATTCAATTATCTAATTAATTTTTCTACATCTTTTCTATCGCAATTACACTAACTAAGATTTGTTTCCAGTGGTACATACAGCATAAAAAAAAAAAAACTCAAGTTAGCCACCTCTCAATTGCTGTCCAATTAATCGTGATTAGACCATATTGGGCCCCACCATATCCCATCTTTTGTTCAATTCATTTGGGCCCACAAGCCTTGTTATCAGATTGCAAGAGGCCCACCAAGGTCTACATGTAGCTCTTAATCAAACCAATAATATCCATTAGATACACATAGAATCTCCTAGGATATAAAGAATGAAAAGGTGAATAATATAAAAAAAGATTTGATTGATTATTGAAGCTATCCAGTTCATGAACAACTATGCATCCAAAGCAGAGGGGCTGCTAAAGATCAAAATGGGGGTATAAAAGGGGTTCCAACTTCCAAACAAACAAGTGGGGGCAGCTGTATCAGATATCCTTCCTCCCATTATTATACTATTATGGGAGATAGGCTAAACATAAAGCCATAAAGAGATAGTTAGGGTTATTTTCATAAAGGTCCTCTAACTCCCCAGTCCCCATCTATATCTTCTGATGTATTGGACTTCACTATTAGTGCTGCTTTGTGGTAGAGATGAAGGTGGCTAAGCAAGGTAAAATCCTCAATGAACTGACAAGTCTTCATCATCGTTGATAAGCTTCTCTTTATCTTTTTTCATTAGTGAGTGGAAGCATCTAGGAAGGAGGGGAAGATCAACTATTAATTTGTCTATTATATTAATACTTATTACAGATGTACAGATTTATTAGGTTTCTGACTTTTATATCCCTGAATATTCTTGTATTCACCGAGTAAGCCATTGGCTATTTTAAATAAGTTATATAATTTGATGGCCATAGTGGTCCTTATCCTTTTATGTTTTTAATATTTAAAGTAGAACAATTTTAAGTTTTTCCTGTTGGGGTATTTCTGGCATTACATATACATGTTAGGAACTCCCAATTTCAAATTCAATACATGACCAGTCACAAAAAAAAAAAAAAAAAAAAAAAAAAAAAAAAAAAAAGGGAGACTGTTTAGAGAGAACACCCAAGGTAGAAGCACTAAAATGTGATCTAGATAAGTTACCACTATATTAGACCCTATACTTCCATTTGTGATACATTCTAAAAAAAAAAAAAAAAAAAAAAAAAAATCAATACATGACCAAGGTTAAATCAGAAGAGAAGAACACAAGTATAAAATAAAATTAAAATGAAAATTTCTTTCATTGGATACATCCCAACGAAAAAACTAATTTGAGTATTTGACTTTGTTAATTTTAACATGTTCTTTTCCATTCTTTTCCATCGACCTAAGTGGTGTCTCCAACTTGGACATTTTTATGGGCGTGGGGCCCACACATAATGCAGAAAGTTATTGTTTATGAAATTGAAATCACATGGAGATAACAGTAACCGATTCTCCTGGGTTTAACCAATTTATTGAAATTTTTTTTTTGGGTAGAAAAACTAAGTATATGTTTGGAAGTGAAAAAGCAATGTTTTTTTTTCTTTTTATTTGAAAACATATCTGTCAAGTAGAACGTTTTCTAGAGCAACAACAATACTTTCTGTTTGGTCCTAATGTTTTATGTCTCTTTTTAGCATTGGTTCTATTATAGAAAGTTCATATCCCTGCCACATCATGCCCTTATCGGCAGCAACGAGTAAGCCATCGGTTTAGGTATCTACACCGACGCTATCTTACAGGACACATCGGGTGACCGTCGAAATAGCTCATTTAGAGCTATACCGACGGATAAGGGCATTTTCTTGTAGTGACAAGAATCTTATTTTATTAGAAAATAATCTCAAAAGTTGTGAAAGGACATGAATTCACTTAAATATAATAAAATTCAATTAATTAATATGATACACGTGCTGATCTATTGGCAGTCAGCGGCTCAGTGGGAGGCTTCCAGAAATCAATTAAAGTCCATTGCAACTAACCCAAATTCCGGACAAAACCATGCACCACACCCAGAGATGATCATTATGAATCAAACAATAGTGGGTTGAAGATCCATTCAGCAACTTTATCCTGTAGAAATTATTTGTATATGTTAATTTAATGATTATCTCTATCTGCAGTGGAGCTTAACTGTTTCAGCTCAAAACTGAAAACTGAAGAAGGTTGAAGCCTTCCAGGACAACCCCACCAGCAATTAGGTAGCTCTCTGTAACAAACATTTCTTTTAATGTTGATCAAATCTTAGTCCTATGTCTTTTTCAATTTCTTATGAGCCAATTCTGCTTTTTGATAAGATTAATATGGATCACTTTGAGTGGAAGATCAAAAAAGAGAGACAAGCTAGTGCAAAAGGACAAGAGGGAAAAGATCAAAAAGAGACAATAGGGTTAGTGAAGGATCGGGGCTCTGAGGAGGAGGGATGGCTAATGGTGTTCATGGGTTGTCCTACACCTACTGTGCTAGAGCTACTTTGGGCGATGGGATGGGTAGAGTCTCCATGGAATGGTCGAGGGGAGCTTTTGATCTACATCACGTCCAAAAAGTGATAAAAGTCCAATACTTGGGGAGGATAAGCACTACTTCATCGCTTCACCTGTAGCCTGCCCAACCGAAACATGAAAAAGC